ATGACACACACCCTGAGTGCGGGCCGTGTGCACGGCTCTAACCTGTGAGCTCATGACACACACACCCTGAGTGCAGGCCCTGTGCATGGCTCTAACCTGTGTGCTCATGACACACACCCTGAGTGCAGGCCGTGTGCACGGCTCTAACCTGTGTGCTCATGACACACACACCCTGAGTGCAGGCCCTGTGCACAGCTGTAACCTGTGTGCTCACACACACACACCCTGAGTGTGGACCGTGTGCACAGCTCTAATCTGTGTGCTCACACACGTGCGTGCATGTGCACGATCACCACAGGTCTTAAGGTGATTGATCAGCTTCACACACTGCTGCACAGCCTGCTTTTCATACGTAACGGTCTTGAAACAGGAATGGTTTATAACGGTTTATAGTTAACCAGTGCCCATGGATGGATATTTAAATAGTTGGCAATTTCTTGCCACTATAAACTGCTACAAAACGGGGTGTCCTGTCCCAACCCTGAAAACTGGCATGGAGCCTCCATCCCTGTGGGCCCCGGGGGGAGGGGTGCTGTTGTTCTCTTTTCAGTGCCTTGCTCGGTTCCATGCTAGGCAGAGTGGCCCCTCCTGAACGGCCGCTGAAAACTGTGGCTCTGAGTTAGGACCCACATGGTTCCTCCCCACGGATGTTGAGTTGCTGGTTGGGGAAAGAGGTCCCGGTGACAAGCAGGACCCATCGGTGACAGCAGTAGGAGGGCCTGCAGCCCAGCACCGTGGTACAGCTCCAGGGGCATGGACAGCCTGAGTCTGTTCTGACCCGTCCTTCACGCCAAGCAAGGCAGCGGTGCTCATCCGGACCACTAAGCTCTGGTCACAGCAGAGCTGACCAAGCACGGTGGTCTCCTCCTCCACACGCTTGTGAAGATGCCCAGTGGAGGCACCTCGACCTTCCTTGTCCCCAGGGAGCCGAGAGTGTGGAGAGATGAGTGTCATCAACCGTGACCCTCCCGTGGAACTTCCATGGCCTCTTCCCCCTGACGTCAGCGTGGCCCTGTGTGTCCCCCTCTGCCCCGGGCTGCACACCTATCATCACCTACTACCCAAATGGCGGCCAAATCCAGCTAGTTTTGCAAATGGGACGCATTCCCAGCAGGCTACACGGCAGCAGAAGGCAGGGGCATGGTGGGCACCAACCTTGCCGGCCATGGGCCCGTGGTGGCCACTTGCCCCTCGCTCTCCTTCCAACCCTCCCCACACCACAGGCCTGCTGGGGGTCCTCCCTGGAAGCGCCGTCAGAGCCGGTTCAGAGCGCACCATGCTACTGGCAAAGCCCCTCTGCAGAGAAAAGTGCAGCTTCTTTTTTAAACAGTGGGCATCCTCACTGTGAATCTGGGTGTTTTTACCCCTCAGCAGAGGAGGAGCTGTCAGTCAGTAGCTTCCTGGTGAGTCCATGCTCGGAGTCACAAATGGCACCTGGCATGTGAGTGCTGAGGCGGCGGGGCTGGCGCAGCAGCCAGAGGGCAAGTCCATGAGTCAGAGCACCCTCGGGGCGGGTCCCAGACTGACGCGGTCCCTGCTTGAGCCACAGAGAGACGGTTCTTCCACCTCTGGCACCTTTCTTCTAAGGCGACTTTCAGCCGCAGCAGATCAGACGAGGTGTTCTAAGAACTCAGCCATCGAGCATGTGCACTTCCAAAAGGCGTATTTCAGGTTTGCGAGAAGAGGCAGGTCTGAAAAAAGTCTGGGCAGATCGTATGAAGCTGAACACCCCTGAGCTTTGGCTCCCAGTGGCTACTCAAGGGGGTGGAGGGGGACGTGGCCGCCGGACCCAAGGCCAGCACACGAGTTCTCAGGGTGGCTTCAGACCGGAGCCCTTGGCCTCGCACCCCCACCTCCCCAGGCAGAGCAGAGCAGAGCTGCGTGCTGAGTGCTTCCGGGGGATTCTCCGAACTGCTGGGCTGGACTCCCCCCTAGTGGTCCTTGGATCCCCCTCTGGAAAGGAGGTGCCAGGCTGACTTATTCACGAGCATCACAGATGCTCCACATGGATGTGCAGCCCGGTGCTGCAGACACAGACAGGAAGGAAACAGGCGCACCCACTTCCCGAGGCGCAGGCATCTGGCATTCTGTCATCAGTTGCCTAAAAGAAAGTTGAGGTGCTCCCAAAAGGAGCTGTGCAGAAAACTATGGCTGCATCAGCCTGGGTCATAACTAAACACTTATTTCTATTTGGAATTTCTACCTAACTGCTCTGGTTCGATTGACTAATGACTGAGCCCATCGCATGGCGTAGCTGCCCCGCGTACTGGAGGAACAGACAGACGAGGCAGGGTCCCCGTTGAGGAGCTGACCCCGGAAGGATCAGAATTTCCTCAAGGGGAGACGAGGAACGTGCTGGGGGCTGCTCGTCGGTGGGTGGGGCACAGGCCACGTGGTGCGGGTGAGCAGGAGCCACCACGTTACTGACAGAAGGTCGTCAATGCCGAGGACGTGTGGCGGAAGACAACATACTCCCTTCACCTTCCCGGAGAAAAAGTGAAACTGCTGCATACAAGTAACACGATTATCATGCAGAGCTGCGTACAGATAGTGGGCAGAAATTACACCTAACTGAAACTTCCTACAGTCGGTTAGGTATAAATACATCAAATGCATTAAAAATGTAACTGTTTGAACAAATACAAAAAGCACACAGATGGCTCAGAAGGCAACATTTGAGGTTTCCCAGTCGGGGCCAGGCTATGGACCCCTCCACCTTCCCAGAGGAGGAGGAAGGTCGGCCTCCAGCCGGCCATGTCCCCAGCTCCGGGGCCTCCTGCAGTTCCGGGGGACGTCCCTGCCCCACAGCGCACTCTTCTCACAGTGCTGGCCTGGATTGGGGGCTGCACGCCTTGCTCTAGCATTGCGGGGAGAGCCCGTCACGCCCGCACCACACCTGCAGATGCTTCCAGCATTAAATGTGAAGATGCAGAGGGGGCGTGGTCCAGGCACAACTGCCGCTCTTTCCTTAAGAACGCCCACGTTTTCTGTTGGGCACAATTCCCAGCCAAAGAGGCAGAAGGAAATGAGACTTAAAGATGAATAAAATCACTTTAAAGCTTCCAAAGTGCTTTCCCTCAGCACACCCGCTAATCCACACATCTGTGACGTCATCACCACTATTTGCATTTTGCAGCTGTGCCTCTAAGGACTTGGGACCGCAAGCACCCTCTCCCCCTCCTGGCTGGGCTGACCACCCTCAGAGTCCCTGGTGTCCCCAGGGGGACATCTCTCCACACAGCGTCGCTCCCTCAGGTTCCTGAGGGGTCTGTGGACAGTGTGGTTTCCCCAGATCCATTGGGGCTGCCTCCAGGAAGCCCACATGCACGGTCAGTGTCTAAATGCCTCCAGGAAGCCCACGTGCACGGTCGGTGTCTAAA